ATTGGTCAATCATTTAGGGTCGCATAGCGACGGGTTGCTAATGTATTTTTGCCTAAATATATATATATAAAATATTATTCAAGTAACATATATGATTATTAAAGTAATTAATATTGACTATATACATACTTTAAATATGCATTATAATTCTTTTAGAATTAAGTTCGTATGTAATAAAACTTAAATTATTATTTATAGGTTTAAACTTAAATATTGTATATACTAATATAGTATTCAGTAAATATCTTGTGTGTAAAAGTGACAGTTTAAAAGATCTATAATTTTGTCTATACGGATATTTGTTTTTTTTCAATAATGGTATCAAATTTTCAGCCATGGACACAAATGAAGAAAGTTCGCGAAAAAGAAATGCAAATTCAGTAGAATCTAAAAATAGTTCAGAATTAGAAAAATATGTAACAAATAGTTCAAATCGACAATCTTCAACTAAAAAAAAATCTAGACCATTTGCTGAGATATAGGATTATTATCTTAAGGGAGTAGGAAAAAGTAATGGCCGTTACGAAGCTACTTGTTATCATTGCATTCCTAAAAAATCTTGGGCAAGAGGAAAACCAGCAATATTGGAAGCACATTTAGCAAATGAATATTCTAATTGTTCTGAAAATATATTATGATATTAGCAAGAAAAAGTAGCAGCAAGAAGTTCTAATTATACGCGAAAAAAGACATCCTTACCAAATCAAACAGCAATAACATCTCATTTTTTATTCAGTCGTCTATTACCAAAAGCTACAATTGATCAACTTGATCAAAAAATAACTAAAGCTTGGGTAATAGCAGAAATTCTGTTTGAAATTATCGAAAATCTATTTATTAAAGATATGTTTAAAGAGTTTTTACTTGCGTACGATCCACTATCAAGAACAACTTTATCAGGCCATTTACTAGATAAGGAAATAGCACGAATAAATTGTACAATTGATAAAAACATAGATAAAGCGGATTATTTAATCTTAGATTAGTATGTATTTGGATTTCAAAATTAAAATTAAAGAATTTTATTTTATATTTTTAAATTTTATAAATAAAAATGTTATTTAAAATTCTACTTATTTTCAAATATGTTATTTATTTATTAATTTTGAGATTCTAATTGCTTCAAAATTAATTTAGTATAAAGATATATTTAACTATTGCTATATATAATATACATTTCATAAATCATGTGATTTTTGTATGATTGTATATCTTTAATAAAATAAAGTTATGCAGATGATCAAATATGCAGATTATTATTTATCGATTTATTTATTTATTTATTTAACGTTAATATACTAATTTATTATATATTATATATTTAATAACGATAAAGCCTTAGACAGTTGGATATCACCGACAATGGAATCAATTTATAATTATATTATCACAACGGACACATGAAAAGAGTATTTAGTTGGCTTAAAAAATTATTCTTCATATTCTCAAATGGGTGAATTTCTAGCAAATAAAATTCCAACTATTATTGAAAGATTTGGCTCAGATAAATTTGCAGCTGTAGTCACAAATACGGCCTCAAATTGTAATCTTGCACGTCAAAAAATACAAAAAATATATTCGCATGTTTGGAATATTCGGTGTGTAGCTCATGTGATTAATTTTATTGCTGCTGATTTGGTTAAGTTAGACAAATTAAAAAAACTAATTGCTAATTGTGGAAAAATCAATAATTTTTTTAACTCTTTTTATTCAAGTCATTCATTGCTTATTAAAGGATTTACTAATATAAAAATTAAAGGTGGTGGGCTAAAATCATAGATAAAAACTCATTGGGTCTTTATATTTTACTACAAATTCAATGATTCATGCACAACCCATATTTGATTGGATAAGTATAAATTATTATAATACGTAGTATATTATTATTATTATTACTAATATGTAAAATAAATTTATTTTAGTTACTTTCTGAGCATTATGAGTCAATTACAAATCAAGAAATAGCTAATTTAATAGCTAATGAAGACTTCTTTATTATATATCGATTAGTGCGTTCTCTTTGGCAACCTATTAAAGAAATAATTTATGCATTAGAAACTAATCAAGCAACATTGGCCAATTGTTTTGCATATTTGATCAAATTAGCTATAGCTATTAAACACTTGCCTGAAACAAATATTTTTAAAGCCTTAGCTATTTATATCTTTAATCAACAATATGAAGAATTTTTGCATCCACTTTATATTTTGGCATATTACGTTCATCCAGAGTACATAGGTATGTAAAAATTACCAAATTTTGTAAATCACTATTTATACGTCTATACAATAACTATTTTATATACATAATATATATGTACAATAAAAAAGGCAAGTTACTGTAATTTTTTATTATAGGTCTCTTTTAGCGGTTCAGACTTTTTTAATATAATAATACAGGTTTATTTAAAAAAATATTGATATTACAATACTACGCTGCTAAAAAAAGTCTAAACCACTAAAAGAGGCTATAGTTAATACTTTAATTTTATTTATATAATTTAAAAACAAATTTTTAGGAAAGGGTTTAAAAGATGATAAATTTCACCAAGCAGCCCTTATATCTATTAAGATCTGGCAAAATCTTGAGCATACCAAGTTAGAGAGTGATGAATTAGTTGTGCAAATGTGACAATTTGAGATATGATTACTACCATTTAATTTTTCTTATATTTCAGGTATAGATACACCAAAAATTTGGTAGGGTCTTTTAAAAATTAACCTTAACATTTAGCCAAGTTAGCTTTTTAATTAATCCTATACAAACAAGTTGTAAAAAGAATTTTTCATTATTAAAGTGAATTTTAGAAGATCGTTGAACTAGTTTGAGTATAAATAGACTAGAAGAAATATCCAAAATTAGATTGTATTATATAACAAATATTCAGCGTAAGCTAAACTTTTCTAATAAAGAATTAACAGAGACCGATCTTTAAGATGTATACAATCTATTATCAGTTGGTAATATTATAAGTTATGAGGAGAATCAAATTAGCGATGATGAAACTTTATTAAATATATCTGATTATTCTACTACTACAACCTTGTTAATTAATGAAGTTATTAACTTGGATGAAGAAAATTCAGAATCTTCCATAGCTGAACCGTTTCAAGCTATCTTACTTAAAGATTTAGATTATGATCCCTGTAATGTGTTAAATGGATTTTTAGAATGTGAAAAGCAAAATAATTGTATATTTAATTTATTATAAAACAAATACTAAAGATTTAATATTATACTATCTGCTATTAATATCTAGCTTTTTATTTCAAAGGTTAATAGTCACAAGCAAATTTTGGCAATAATGCTAGTAAAGCAAATTTAAGGTATTGAAGCTTGATTTTTAAAATATGTAGTAATTTGTAAATATTATTTAATTCATATAACCAGACTAAAATTTTATTTTTAATACATATAAGCAAGATATAAGATATTAGTAATTTACAAGTATTAAGATAGGATTAAAAGTTACAAATAGTATCAGTTGTGTGATTTTTAAAGAATTATACAAAAATAAACTAGTGATAATAAAGTAAAGAATTTCAACTTAAATCTGAAAAATATATCTAATACTAGTCAGAATTAAGTGTTTAATTTTTCCAATAAGATTTGTATTAACTTTTAGGCATTTAAAAGTGGCAATTAATCCACGATATTTATATTCGAATTAGAACCTTAGTATTAATTTCTACTATATAGAAGTTTATTATATTTAAGATAATTAATCTGCCCTTTAGATATAGTATTTTTAAGTCATACTACCAATTGAGAAATTCTCAAAGAATAATATAAGAATAAAAGTAGAAAGAAGACTATTGATAAATAAATTATATTCATTAATTTAAAAGTATCATTAAAGAAACTTCATAAGAAAAAGTATATCTAAAAAAATATCTAGAAGATATATTGATATAAAGCGAATATACTGCTAACAAATGAAGCCTTCTATGCTAACCAACCTAAAAACATTTTAAAATCAAACACCAATCTTTTTCAAGCATAACTTAAATCACTCATTGCTAGCAAGCATATTCGCAAATATATTAATTCTAAAAAAAAAAAAAATTAATTTGTTAAAAATTATTTTAATGTTAAAATTCAAAAGCTTTCTTTATCTTATATTTCATCATAAAGTTATATAAAGTTGACTTGGTAATAGCATTTATTTGAATGAATTGGTAAGTTTTCTCAGTATTTTTTCTTTTAACTGCATTGAGGTGAACTTAACATTAAAGTACGGCATGCAACTTAAGTCATGGTATGCTAAAGGTCCAGATATTTAAAAATATGAAAGGTAACTGCCTTAATATGACACATTTGCCATATAAATAAATATGCCATAAGTTGTACGTATAAAACTTCCAACAGTACTTCAACAGGCTCAACAGTAGTTAAACATTAATGTGTTATGACATGCAATATAAATTACGACATGCAACACCAATCACGGCACATGACACTAATCACGGCATACTATACTATTATGACAAGCATGGCGGACATTCGATTTGATTGGCTTGAAGATCCCTGAGTTACACAATATAAAAAAGAATTTTTACAGTAATACTTACTATGTAAAACCACATTGTCAATTGACAACTTGTGGTTTCACTCAATAAAATTTTTTTTAATCCATATTATAGTATTCTTTAACTCTTTGCCTGTCTTCTGTAAAAAAAGATCAGTATATATTAGTATCACTAAAAACTTTATTTAGAGGGCAAATTTAGCAAGTAATATAGTAATACTATATATAACAAATGAGTTAATTAGGTATTAATCATTATACTATACATGTATAACCTTTTTTTTTTGCTT